ATAAATTAAACGTAAAAGGTGTAGGCCAAGAATAGTTTACATAATCCTATAGATAGTGTGATTTACGACATGTAAACACAAGTAGTCAGAGGCGTAGCGACCCTTCCCGGCGCCCGGGGACATACTTTCAATTTTCGCCCCCCTCGGGAGCAAACTTTCGATTTGCACCCCCCCCCTCGAACTTTTCATTTGCATCCCCCCCCCCCTCAAACTTTCAATTTGGCGCCCCCCCCCCCCTAAGGTCGGCGCCCGGGGACATATGTCCCCCCCGCCCCCCCCCCCCCCCTCGCTACGCCTCTGCAAGTAGTGTGGGTAAATAGACCAATAACGGCCTATATCGATTTTTTTCGATGAGCTATATATGCCTAATTTATAGCCTACCATTTGCTCAAAGCACAACACTATTTAAAAGAAAGGTTTGGGGAGTTGATAGTTTATGTCTATATTGTTACTCTGAAGAAAAGGTACTATACACTTTAAGTGCCAAAAAATGTCGCAATTTCAATTTCAACGTATATTCTTGATGTGTTTACTATCTGCTACATTTGGTATGATTCAAATTTATTGTATTATTTTTAGCCATTGAAATAATTGTATTTTTTATGCAACAGATCATGAAAGAAATTGTCTCAATACAACAAAATCATAAATCTAAATCTCATTAAAACATTTGATCGCCAAAAATATTTCTAAAATCGGATCCTAGAGTTTAAGTTCAAACATTGCACTTACATCAATTCTAGACAATAATTTTACATCTATAGAAGAATCAGATCCATCAAGAACATATATGGAGAGCCTGGAAGTTGACTAAACAAAACCGAACAGCCACTCAATCGAATCCCCACAAATAGGAAGGTTATCTAAACTAAAAAAAAGGGAAATGCAAACAATTTCAATCTAGTGTCTTCGACGACTAAATATACTGGAATATTTAATTCACTAAACTCCTTTATAAAGAATATTTTTTTTAAAAAGTAGGCCTACTGTTATGATTTTTATTGCAAAATAGATGCATTATATAAATTGTACAGTCAATCTTTAAAACGACGTAATTTACGATTTTTAAAATCCATATTTGATGTTATTTGGACGTGGTTTGTGTGGGGTTTTTTTTTGGGGGGGGGGGGGGGGGGGTAGTGCGCAAAGCCATAAGATTATATAGGAGTGTTTTGGCTTTAGGAAATGTCACGTAACGTTACGCAAAGGGGTATGAGGTGTTTAAAAAAGTGATAGGATACCACACCCCTCACGTTAATTACCCCCATGTCATTTTATTAAAGTCAAAATCCCCAGTTCGATTATTCAGGACCCTACCTCCCAGAACATTGTATCGACCCTAATAACTGAACGAGGATAGCAGTGTTTCTTCCAGACTTTTTATCCGGGGGGGGGGGGCACTTGATATTTTCGGGGGCTGTCAACATTTTCCGGGGGGGGGGGGGGCGGACACTAGTAAAAGTATATTTGTACTATATAAATTTCATCTCATTGGGGGGGGGGCGGTTAGATGCCTGGAAGAAATTCTGGAGGATTTGACCTACGCCTGACAGTTACAAATCGTTGAGGGAAACGATAACGGTAACCAACAGTGTAACGGTAACGATAACCGTTACGGTAAAGGTAATGAGAAGAAATTTTTTAAAAAATAGGGCTAGTTTGAAGATTAAGGACAAGCAAATGAATTTGGTATGTGTTATAGATTGTGAGATGGCTTTGGGAAAAAAGGGGGTATGTATTGGCTTACAATGTATTGTGTATGGGATAATTACACATAGTGCACACTAATATTAGATCATTGAACTGGGGCTAATGACTTGGTGGACATAGGATGAGAAATGCCTTTCACTCAGCTTTCATTCTATATTTTGGATACAATTAAGATTAAGATTCTACGACAAATGATCTCAGGACAAATGATCTCAGACAAATTTTTTTTCGTAAAAAAGTAAAGAAAACCATATTGAGAGTTCGGATCAACTAAAATCATCAAATACACTATTAAAATTTTGCTGTGAGATATTTTGTCTGAGATATTTTGTCTGAGATCAATTGTCCATGGTATCATTTGTCCTGATATATTTTATCCTGGTCTCTTTTGTCCTTGAAATCATTTGTCCTGAGATCATTTGTCCTTGAGATTATTTGTCCTGAGATCATTTGTCCTGAGATTATTTATCCGTGAGATATTTTGTCTGAGGTCATTTGTCCTGAGTTCATTTGTCCGTGAGATCATTTGTCCTGTCACCGAATTATAGATATATGCTTATTTAAGTTATGTTTTAATGTTGTCACTGGTGAGTATTATTTTGTAGAGGATATAGAGATTGCTGTATGAGTACAATGTACTGTCACACTTGCTTACATTTTTGTTATATTCTCGTTTATAGTAATGTTTCACTTTGCTATAACAGTATATATATACATATATATATATATATATATATATATATATATATATATATATATATATATATATATATATATATATATTTATATACAAGGTGATGAATATAACAAGCTCTGTGAAACTAATAAACCTTGCGACATCACTTTTGTATGGAAGAAGAACTTCCCTTCGCTAGCTCAGTTCACATGGAGTAAAAACGGACATAAAGTAGGCACATGTTACCCTGACAACGAATGCCAGAAATACCCTGAATATAATAACCATGCGTCTTTGAGTATACACAACAATGAGGGATCCATCAAGTTTAACGTTACTCTACACGGACTGGATCTAAATCAAGGACAACATGCCTTGCTGGAAGGGAAATGGGAACTTAATGTGTCTTTTGAAAACAACACATCGCTAATGATATACAACTGTAGCGTCAGTTTTTATAGTAAGAAATATTTATGTAAATTTTTAACATACTATGTAATGTGTTGCAATTATTTTACTTATTTAAGATCATTAGATGTTATTCGCGTAGCCAGGTTCTATTTAAATAAAGAAATGATTATAAACTTTACAGCCTTTAAAAAAAATCCCAGTGGTATTTTGAAAATATTATATTAACAAAACACGAAGCTGAAGTGATTTCACCTTAACTTTTCTCTTATATTCGTGTATAACATTAAGGGAATGTCATTTACCATTTACCATGTAATCGGTTTATGGAAATATAAACGTTTGTGACAAACAACTCGGGTTTTATTTTTTATTTTTATTTTAGAACATCAAAGTTATTTGTTTTAGAAACTGATGTATGAGAAAATAAAAAAAATTATAAAATAATGGAGGTAATTGCGAAATTGTAATTAAAACACTGTATGATGATAATACTGCATTATAGAGCACTAATTTTCCGCTCTATTATACACATTTTCAATATAATAAATTGCGTAGAACACACCAAAAGTAATATAAAATCATCAGTTTCTTATGCTTTTTGGGAAAACATAATTATCTTGAACTACTACTTCCGGTGAACGGCAATCACTCAAAAGTTGACATGATAAAACATATGATATTATATACATGTGTACAAATGTGTACACCTAAATGAAACGATAATCAAGTTTTTGCTATTTTAGAAACCCAAAATAAAGTACCTCCTCCGGTTATATGATGTCACTGACAGTAAAAGTAATAAAAGTATAAAACTATGCTTATTTCTGGAATTTCAAACTAAACTGTACATACACAAAAACCACGAACAAAAAAAAAACAAAAAAAAAAAAACTGTCTGCGATATATAATCGTACGTTTGAAAGCGGACTTTAAACCCCAAACAAGAAGAAGAAGAAGAAGGAATTTCGCATAAAAGTTAATAGAAACATGCACATACAATGCAATAATAAAATGTAAAAGTTTGTTTAGTCAACTTAACAGTAATTAAGTATTTCGTTCATGAGAAACCGGAAGTAGAGCAGGTACCACTTCCGATTACCGGAAATCGCTTATACCTATATATATATATATATATATAAATATTGTCAACGTAAATTTAGTAAGGCTATCGTGTTCACAGACAAACAGACAGACATACCGACACAATTGCAAAACTAAGTCTTTCCGACTCGGAGAAGTGTTAAACTTTGAGATTTGTGAAAATCTGGGTTTCGATTGTTGCGTTAGAATTCAATATTACATGTAAAGGACTGCTTCATATACGAGGAAGTAAAATGGGTAACCTTTCTTCTGTTTCTTAGTGTAATAAGCTGCTTCGTTTCTGTTTAATAAAAAAATCGTTTTGAATCTAAGCTATTAATGAAAAAAAAATATTAATACCATTTTTTTATAGAAACAAAAGATGACGCACTCAAAGAGTGTCCACAATATAAACCATACCAATGTGACACGACGTGCTATGGCTACGATGAATTTTGCAACACGACTGACGTCCAATCATGTTTCCCAGTTGACGTTCACCCTGAAAATCTTTTCGAATGGTGCCGTACAACAGAAATATCTGCTATGGCACATGGAAGCTGTTTCTTTGCTTGTCATGCCAGATTTGGCAAGACTATCAATCAACATGGTATATAGTTTAATATACTTTTACACATGATACGTTATTTTTTAACATCATTTACTGAAGCAAAATGTGATAGTTAATTACCAAAGCTAGTTTTTAATGCGTAAAATGAATTCACTTTATTTTAAAAAGCTGTTATATGAATGTTAATGCAAAACGATATAATATTTTATTGTTGCGTACCTTATCAACATCAAATATCAGTAACATAGCTCGTGATTAGTTTTAATATTATTGTAATGGAAATGATTTTCTATTTTAAATCATGCAGCAAAAGAAGGCAGTATTTTCATTGAAAAGTTGGACAAGTTAATAAATTCATCTGATTCAATTTTGGTTGAGATTGGTAAATAAAATAGTCACACTTTTTCTGCTCATATGTAGTCCCCTTGTTTATTTTTTAGTCTGAATTATTGCGTATCTTATTTAAAATTTTTACTTTAATTTGATAAATATCAAACATATCTGTCATACTTTGTTTTAATATGATTATGATAATTAAATTGGATTTCTGTTTTAGATCATGCAGCAACAAAATTCAGCATTGTCATTGACAAGTTGGACAAGTTAATTAACTCATGTCATTCAATTATTGTTGCATTTGGTAAATAAAATATAATTTTTTTTCTGTTTATATGTACTGTATATTTCTTAGTTTCGTTTGATGCTTACCTTATTTAAAAGTGTTATCTTTAATTTCCTAACAAGACAAAAAAGTCTGCAAGGCTTCGTTTTAATATGAATTTGGTAATTATAATGAAATTCAATTTTAGATCATACAGCAAGAAAATTCAGCATTATCATTGACAAGAAGGACACGTCAATTAATTTATCTAATTCAATTTTGGCTGCATTTGGTAACTAAATTAACCAAACAGATTATGTTTATATGTTGTGTATATTTCTTATTTTTACAGTGTGAGGTTGAAGAATAGGATACCTTAATAAATACAGCAATACACAGTTGTGATTTCTCTTTAAAATTGAAGTTTTTTTAATCATTATAAAATAGTTGCTTCATTCATTTGGGGAAAAACAACGGCAAACGCTGGAGCCAATATGCGGGTGCCTCAAAGAAAATTAATAGTCTATACTTTCTATACTATCTATGTCAGCAATAACTGACGTGTTTTTTTTATTTGAATGATGTATTTTGAGAACTGTTTGCAGTGCAAACGGTTTTACTATTATAGTCAAAGTAAATCCTATTAATCTTATGATTTTCAGTCAGTTTTTTAATAGCTGTTATAATGCATGTTTTATATATCTTCAGTTTGTGTCATAGTTTTTCAAGTAGCAGTTGCTTTTCTAGCAATAGCAGCAATAGTAAAAACAGTTCCTTTCAGGTAAGAAAACTCCTGCTATAATTATGAATTAACATTAATAATAGGAGCTTTCTTGTAATATTAAGTGTATTGGTGATATTATTTATTAATTGTTCTATTAGAAGACTTGATATGAAACACTCGTGCTTTAATTATTGTCTTAGTGTGCGTATTATATTCAAAATATATATCATATCTAGAGTAAATCAAATTTGATTTTCAAGTGAGATTTAAACTAATAAACTTTACATATTTTCATATTAATCATAGGTGCAGCATAAATGGTCAGGTAATATACTTAATTAATGCATGGCCTGATAATTTTAAATAGGTCATGTAGCGATTACTTATTTGAATACTTGTATGGCTTTGTTAAATGACAACATTTTTTCTAATGAAATAAAGAAATAAAAATGAACGATAAGCGATTGATATATTTTAACACTGATGTAAAATCTGTGTAATTTTTGTCTTTTCTTAATTTTTTCCCCACAGAAGTCTGATGTGGTTACACAGGGAAATAATGAACAGATACATACAGCTGATTAAGATTGTTGTGTAAATGCATGTTTTAAATTTGAGTGAATGAATATGCAGGTTTTAAACAATTTAGCAAAATATTGTAAAATATCGTTTCTAATGAACTAAGTATTAAAAAACCCACTAAGCTGGTGGATAGACCTAACAGAAGACAGTATCGCTAGTTTTAAGCGAAAGTAAACATAACGAAACTTGACTTATTTGTAAATTGTAACTTATAAAATGTATGATTTTGTTCTAATATTTCGTTACTGGACGTGAAACTGTTTTTACGGTAATATAAAGCTATCCATAAATTGTAGCACCTTGTTAAAGAGAATTTTCGAGTTAATGGTAGATAAGCCAAAAAACAATCAACTTAGCCGGCAAGATAAAAAGGAATACAACTAGCCAAACGATCATATTAAAATTTATTTATTTTACTGACACGTGTAAATAACATATTAATAACTAGCCGTCCCGACTAGGCCATGCACTGGTCTTTGAGAGAAACTCATATGTATAAAGCCATCTCTTGTGTACTTATTTAAACGTATTTTAGTTTCTAGTTCAGTTAATGTGACACCATTAATAGGGAAGGTTTGACCATATATATATATATATATATATATATATATATATATATATATATATATATATATATATATATATATATATATATATATATATATATATATATATATATATATATATACATATATGTATATATATATATATATATATATATATATATATATATATATATATATATATATATATATTCATTTAGGTCAATAATGAGTTGTATATTTTTAACAAACTTATTTCGCGTATATTATTAACATATTTCTTTTTGCACGCGCCACTTTCCTACACATACATATTATATTTTGATAATTAATTGTCATATTTTATAATAAGATTACACGATAAAGATGTAATAAACACAAGGGTATCGTCCCTTCCGAACATACCGAAATTTTCTAAAGAAACAAATAACACCCAGATAAAGAAATCGCCTATTGTTTAACATTTAACACAACACCAATCTCACAAAAAACTCAGTCAAACAAAGACATTAAAATTACATGCCAAACCTGCAAATAAAACATACCAGAAACAAAAAACAATCACTCTTGTCTTAGACGGCATTTCTATTCAATTACCAAAAAAAACCATTGAAGCCAATCTTAAAAAAATATAAAACAGCCACTGTCATCAAAGCTATTACAGGTAACAGAATTATCAAGACTGTAGTTGTAACACATAACAACGGCATACGGATTGCTGGTTTGGTCTATACGAAAAACATTAGATTTGACGGATTGATATATACAGGCAAAGCTATCAACAAAATATTTTGATCGAGACTTAGATTAAGACTCAGTCAATACACATAATATCGACGGACGGCAGACGTCTAAAACAAACTATTAATTGAATTGACATTTTAAGGAGATATTTTTTATTCTTCCTCTCCGCGTCACCGGTAAAGACTTTGTTCTGAGTGAAAAAAATATCACTCACATCTGTCACAAAAGTGTCAACCATGGCATTATTTTGACACACACTCCCTGAATATTGCATGTCGAATTTGTCCTTTGTCTGTATATTTTATTTTTCCTACTTAAACTCATGCCTAAGTGTCAGCACAAAGAGGTGATAAATAAGGCACTGGTCTGTTTAGTGTTTTCTTACTTTTCCTGAAAGCAAATAGTCAATAAGGCCTTGAACCATTGATGTATTTCTTTTTCACTACAGCTCTCATGTCTTGTCATGACGTAGTACACCACGGCTAGCTTCCTTCGCTTGTGTTGTGGACGGGTGGGGGGGGGGGGGGCGGAATTATATATATATATATATATATATATATATATATATATATATATATATATATATATATATATATATATATATATTACAATAAACGCATCTCCCCTGGTTCACCGAAGGGGATATTATAAAAGGCTTTGAGTTAATCTACTTACGACTAATAATAGCCTTATTTCAGACTAAGTGCATTACCACATTTTCTTCTGTATCGTTTACTGTAAGGGTGTTTGTTGTTATCTGTTGTGTTTATATTTTTGGTAATGACATTTTCTTTGTAATCAACAATATTTGATCATTATAAGTATAAATATTTATTCTATTTTATTGCATTGCTATTTTTAATACATTTTATTACGCAACCTAACGTTATCAGTGTTACAGAATATTGTTCGTGTGCGTGTGTGTGTTTGTGTGTGTGTATTTGTGTATTTTGAATAATATAAGATTCAAAATCATATTTAAAATACAAATTCAAAACGCTTTATTTTATTTAAAATGTGATTATTATTGTTTCATTTAGGTTTTATTTTACTTGACATTTATTTAATCCAGTAAAATATGGATTCATTTTGCTTTCCATGAAAGCGTGGAAGTGACCGACACATTCAAGGTATAATCTGTGGTGACTGATACAAAAAAAAAGCAATACGTTAATCTTTCAAATTATATTGGAGCCTGCCAATTAAAAATGTATTTGTGTTCGTTTTTTTTCGTTGTGTTTGGAAACAATTTAGGTTAAAAATATAATACATTATATTTTCTAATTATATTTGAGGCTGCATATAAAAAATATAGTAGACCTACTTGTTTCCGTATTTGTGTGTGTGTGTTTGGAACCATGTTAGGTTATTAATCCATTACAATATAGAGCATTATATAGAGCAATAGTTATTATCCAATGCAATGAGTGGAGCGGTTAGAACAATGCAAAAACATATCTTGTACAGCATTATGATACCTAAAAAAAATAAAAATAAAATCATTAGGCTTAACGTAATACAAATGGTTTGAATGGTCAAAGATCAGATACATAAGATAGCAAAAGCAGAGCTAATTTTAAATACGACTAATGCGACAGTAGAAGACAGGGTTAAAGTAACATGGCTGAGAGTGCAGCTTTTAATTATAGTTTCGATATTCGACATCCGCCATTCCCACACCGCATCTCTAGGTTCAACAACGGCTACCCCTACCTTCGAACCACGCATGGCATCCGTAAAAATCGACTTGAGTTGCTAAAGAAAGGTGAACATATGTTGCAGAAAAAACACTGAACAGAAAAACAGTATTGGATTGTCCATTCAAATCTGTAATTAAATCTTTTTACTTAACGTAAGCAGTTCTGGCGGCTTAACATATTGATTATGTCAAATATGCACACACACACACGTACATATATATATATATATATATATATATATATATATATATATATATATATATATATATATATATATATATATTTATATAACGTTTTCTCTACCATTTTAGATCGTAGTTTCAAATTCTATTGGATCTTTTATAGTGTAATTTTTTTCGTTAATTAAACATCGTAAAATATACTTTCTTGATCACAATACGTATACAGCGTTTGAATGTTTCATATGTACATTTTCATCGATCGCAATAAAGTTTTCTTTCATCTCCAGATAATGACATATCTACCACGCATCTTTGCATTGGAAGTGGGATAATAATAAATACTATTTCTGTTGCTGCATTCTGTTTATTATAAATTCATGTACACACATTATTGCGTTGTTATATATAAGTATTAAAAACCACTACACAGTTTTTAGTGGAAAAGTTCTTTATTTTAAAATTGGATGTATTCAGTTCAATGTAAACATTGTAGTTTGTTGATCAATATTATAGAAACACAGTACTTTAACCCATATATTAGATACAAAGTAGTGCCAAAGAGTAAAAACGTCTGAACTACTACATCATGTTTACCTGTGCAGGTAAGATACATGTAACGTAAACCTAAGGTAGATGTTTACTTCATAATGCACAAACATCCGTTTTTAAAACACTAGTTGTAAACATTTTCATACAAGAAGGATTCTAAAAATAAATCTTTACACAATGTCTATCACACTGGGAAATAAAACTGTTATTTATATGCATGCTAGTCATGTTTGCTTTGTTCCGCTTCAAAGAATTTAGGTCACGACAGACTGACGCTATAATGTTCAGCCCCATGCAGCATAACACGTAAAATCGTTATTGTGTTATAATCAGTATAATACAATATGAAATTAAAAAACCGGGAGTTATCTCCCCTAAACTTTCTCGAATATTCTTATATGAAACATTAAGGGATGGCAACTCGGGATATAGACATGATTTTTAATCTATTTTAAATACTTAAACTTTTGAAAATATAATAAAATCTCGTAGAAAAAAGAATTGCACACCAAGTGAACGTCAAATAAAATGTGCATAACAGTGCGGAATATCATTAGTACTTTATAAATTGAGAACTCGGAAATAGCAAAAATTACTACTTTCGGTCAACAGAAATTACTTAAAATTTGACAGAACGCAGAAAATTAGATCTTTTACCTACAAAAAAAAATTACGTTTATCTATCTGAAATAGTACTCAAGTTATAGGCTTTTGAAAAATTCAAAGTAGAAAAAGTACCACTTCCTGTTACTGGAAATCGCTCAAAAGTTGATACGGATCTACGATTTTGATATAATACTTTTATATAAAATTTCATCAACCTAGCTGTAACGGTACTCAATTTATCGTGTTTACAGACACACACACACATCCACACACGCACACATCCACACACACACAAACACACAGAGACATACGGACAAGATTGCAAAATTATGTTTTCCGACTCAGGGAGGTGTAAAACGTCGAGATTAGCAAAATACAAGACTTTCTCTGTACTTCGTATATACGAGAAAGTAAAAATGTAACTTTAATTTTATTTACAACTTTAAATCTTCAAGGGATACAATTATGCGATAAATATGTATCTCACATATGAAATACTTTTATTCGACTTCCTCGTACAATTCGTGTATGCTTGTCATAACGCTTTCATACTTTGTTGCTGTGGAAAAAATGAAAACGATGTATGCATTATTTAATTACTTTACGAATTTAAGATAACACATAAGATATGCTTCTCAAGTCTCAAACAAAACTCCTAGCTAATTAATTACAATATTGAGACACAAAGTGTATAGCATGAACTGCGACAATTGAATTCATCCGTTTTAAACGTCATGTCCGATTGTGCAGTTAATTTAATTATTGTATTATATCAGAGGCGTAGCGAAGGGGGGGGGGGTACATATGTCCCCGGGCGCCGATCCTAGGGGCGCCAAAATGGTTGAAAAAAATTAAAAGCCTATTTTAGCTACAGTTTTGAATTATAAACATAAAAAATATACGGGTGGGGCGCCATGTTAAAGTTTGTCCCAGGGC